GCAAAAAGGGTGACGAGCTTGTTATGTAGCCTAGGATAAAATAAATGCTCAGACAGGAATATAAAGAGGAAGAAAATTCAGTTAAACACGACTCTCATCAAGGTAAGTAAGAAATAGCTCATAGATAGATCATCACACTAAAGTTCATGAAATCCTTGGCTTGGAACATCGTTTACTTCACTGTTCCAGTTCCATCTATGCGTAGGGGATTGGCAGCTGCTCCGCCCATTATTATTAATGAATTACCAAATGTGCATCCCACACACAGCCACTGGGAACTGAAGGCATCCCTCCTACACCCTACTTTGTTTTGAAGCTTCCAAATGTTATAAGGTGGCTATTTATTTAATAAGTAGAAATCACTGAAGGTAGCATAGTATTTGCTTCCATAGCAAAACTGATGTGTTACGGGAATTAGTAAGGAATTATAACTTAGTTTATCCATTGATTTAAAGTATCTGTTAGGTCTCTGCCATCTAATGAATGCATATGGCCCTTAAAGAAATGTATGCACACAACCAGGACATTTCGTTAAGAGCAAAAAAAAACAAGCCAGGCCCTGGTGACTCATGCCTGTTATCCTAGCTACTCAAGAGGCTGAGATCTGAGGTCCAGGGAGGAAAATAATGAGATGTTTATCTCCAATGAAGCACCAAAAAAGGGCCAAAAATGGAGCTGTGGCTTAAGTGGTGGAGTGCTAGCCTTGAGCAAAAAGCTGAGGGGCAATACAACAATACAGAGACCCTGAGTTCAAGCCCTAGGAACAGCCCTACTTGGCTACCACCCCCCCCCTGCACATACACAAAGTGAAAAGCAATGACCATCACTAACAGTTAAGTGAATTTTCTCCTGAAAAACAGGAGAAACAACAACAAATATGCAGACCTTTAATTATATCTTTAAAGTGAAGGAAGGAAGGAAAAAAGAGAAAAATAATTTTAGATATGATGAGTGTATGTACTAGACATCTTTAATTATAGTCTAGAACAGTCTCCATTTGTACCTTCTATCTTTGCATAATTATTCATTACTACCCATCTACTCTAATTAAAGATTCTAATTTGGATGGATAACTATATGTTGATCAAGGCTTAGGGCATTCCTTGTACAGCTACAATATCTTCCCCAACCATCTAGGGTGATTTCACTTTTCACTTATAACCTTCTTGTAGGCCACTTGGTTCTATAAAAGTAGTAAGAAAAATATACTCGAACTTATATCTTCATAGATTATAAAATGTATCCACCTTTCTCCTACTCTTCCATCTTTGTGTCCCCACTACTCTGTCTTTCTGTCTTGTGACACTCCCCTAACACAGATTTCTTACACTAAATGTCAGGAAAAAGTCAAAGAGTGTCATTTTAATAGCCAGGTGCTGCTGGCTCATGCCCATAGTCCTAGTTGCTCAGGAAGCTGAGAGGTGAGGATCAGTTTGAAGGCAATTTTGGGAGACTTTTATCCCCAGTTTACCAGCAAAAAGCCAGAAGTGGAGCTGGATAGCTCAACTCATAGAATGCCAGCCTGGAGAAAACAACCACCACCACCACCACAAGAAAAAAAAGGAAAACATTCCAAACCCTAAGATCCAGCACTCAGAACTTGAGTTCAAGCCTCAGTTCTGCTGTGCTCACAGGGAGAATGTGCCACTTGATGAATATTTTCTTTTTCTTTCTTTCTTTTTTTTTTTCTTTTCCAGTCCTGGGCTTGAACTCTGGGCCTGGGCACTGTACCTCAGCACTTCAGCTCAAGGTGAGTGCTCTACCACTTGAGCCACAGCGCCACTTCCGACTTTTTCTGCTTATGTGGTGCTGAGGAATCAAACCCAGGGCCTCATGCATGTGAGGCAAGCACTCTACCACTGAGCCACCTTCCTAGCCCATTGATGAATATTTTCATATAGAAACAGCATAAAGCTTTTAAGTCATTGTGTGTGCAAAACTGAAGTGATAGGTCATATTCTTTTCAGTGGATAAGGAAGTGGATCACACTGTTCATTGTCATAGGATAATCAAATTGATTATCAGATTGAAGGCCTGTTCCATATCTAACATGGGTTGTCTGGTCTTAAAGAATCCACAGTCTAGTAATGGAGAACAGATTGAGTGGTAATCCCAGGTTCAGTTTAACGTTGTAGTGCTATTATGTGGAAGGGCAGGGGGAGAGCAGACATGAGATTGTCTGCAGCCTGGGAAAGGTTTTAGAGGCCCATCACTTAGTCAGTGAGGTGTGAACTAAGGTTGGGAGGAGAAACAGAGTGTAAATTATTAATCAGTGTGTGGACCTGGTGCTACTTTGTTCTTGAAGAAGTGGGCAGCAGGACCTGGCCATCATACACTGTCACAGAAATAAAAGGGGCTTCTCCCGAGTTTTGTGTTGAGCTCTTTCATTGTTAGGATAAAGAGTGGTAGTTGGAAGCTCACTATTCTGTGTGTGTGTGTGTGTGTGTGTGTGTGTGTGTGTGGCACACGGGCATGCACTTGTCCTTGGACTTGAACTCAGGGTGTGGGTACTGTCCCTGAGCTTTCCTGCTCAAGGCTAGCTCTCTACTACTTGAGGCACAGCCCTACTCCTGGCTTGTGTGTGTGTGTGTGTGTGTGTGTGTGTGTGTGTGTGTGTGTGTGTGGTAATTAATTGGAGATAAGAGTCTCATGGATTTTCCTGCCTTGGGTTGGCTTCAAACTGCAGTCCTCAGATCTCAGCCTCCTTGGTAGCCTTGTCCGCATCAGGCTACAGCTCACTGTTCTTGTAAGAGGCATCATTTTACAATTTGATACCTCTTCAAATGTAGTCTTGAAAAAGCCATTATAAAGCTCTCTGGACTTTCCTCAGCAAAAATAGACTGGTATTTTTTAAAGTCTATTCCCAGAGGTCTTATTTTTCTTTCTGTAAAAATTTGACTCTTCTTTCCTTTTCTGAGTTCAGTCTGTATATGGTTCTCATCCCCCACACTTGAATATTTTGTATTCAGCATTGGAAATCACTTCTATATAAACTGGTATAGTCTCCCAAATCATTCAGATTTATTTGGATCTCAGTGTCATGCTTTCAACAAAGTACCTTACAACAGTGAGTGAGCAATGTTGAATAAAAGAAATATATCATTCCAGCCATAGTTATTGCATGGTAGTCACACCCTAGTCTTTGATTCTTTTTCTTCCCTATAGCTTGTTTTCTGCCCTTCAGTTACACTAATTTCTGTAAGCGTTGTCTTCCCACGTTTTCTCCCATGATCCAATTGTTCATATGATTTCCAGGTTCCCATCTACATAATTGTCATGTACATTTATGTTGCCTGTATGGATGGGTTTTGAATCACTTCCTGTTGTCTTTCTTCTCTACTCATATCTACTCCACAAGCAAGCCCTACAGTTTCCAGTGAAATGTCTTTCATCTCCTTCTCTTCCAGTGTCTCTTTTCCTATCATGGTACCTGTTCATTTCTTACTGCTATTCTTACTTCTGAAATAGCACTCCTCTAATAAGCCATTTTTCACAATGATGCCAGTTTCATTCTTCTAAAATGCATGGTACCCTTGAAGAAAATACCATTAGCAATGATGCAATTTGGATATCATATATGCTTGCATAGAGAGGCAATTCAGAGCTCTGAAGTTACAACACCTGAGTTGGAATTTTGACTCTTGCACTTGTTAGATCTGTGGTCATAGACAAATTATTTCCCTTTTCCATGTCTCATTTTTCTCATCAGTAAAATGTTGGAGATTCTTTTTTCTTTCTCTTTTTTTTTTGGGGGGGGGTCCGGTCGTGGGGCCTGAACTCTGGGCCTGGGCACTGTCCCACAGCTCTTCAGCGCAAGGCTAGTGCTCTACCACTTGAACCACAGCGCCACTTCCAGCTTTTTTCTTCTTGCTTATGTGGTACTGAGGAATCGAACCCAGGGCCTCATGCATGCAAGGCAAGCGCTCTACCACTGAGCTACCTTCCCAGCCCCTTGTTGGAGACTCTTATAGTCCCAGCTTCTTGGGAGGCATTGGTAGGAGGAAAAAAGTCTGAGGTCAGCCCAAGGCCAAAATGGGATCCCTTTGTGAAAAATAACTAAATCAAACTGGACTTGAGGTATGGCTCCTTAAGTGGTAGAGCAAGGCCACAAGTCAAACTCCAATGCCAAAACAGGAAGGAAGGAAGGAAGGAAGGGAGGGAGGGAGGGACGGACGGAAAGAGGGAGGGAGGGAAGGAAAGAAGGAGGGAAGGAAGGCAGGAAGGAAGGAAGGGAGGGAGGAATGGAATGAGGGAAGGGAGGAGAGAAAGGAGAAGGGGAAATGGCAAAGAGGAAAAGGAAAGAAAGGGGAGGAAGAAGAAAAGAGAAGAGGAGGGGAGAGGAAATGGGCATAGTAATTAGACCTACCATAAATGTATCATTGCATGGATGAAATGAAAACTCTTAGCTGTCTTACATAGAGTAAGGGCGCAGTAATAGGTATTAATTGTTATTAGACATCATTCTTTGCAAGATTTAGAGATAGAAAGGTAACAAAATTGGATGCCATATATAAAATATACTTAAAATTATTGTATAACCATAATCTGAAATCACATGTAAAGTTCAACAATTAAAGGTATCTCAGGGCAGGTGCTGGTGGCTCACACTTGTAATCCTAGCTGCCCAGGAGAATGAGATCTGAGGATCATAGTTCAAAGACAGCCCAGGCAGGAAAGTTAGTGAAAGTCTTATCTCCAAATAACCATCTGAAAATTGGAAGTGGAACTGTGGCTCAAAGTGGTCAAGCACTCGCCTTGAGCAAAAAAGCTCAGGGAAAGTGCCCACACCCTGAGTTAGAGCCTCAGGATGGACAAAAAAAAAAAGAAAAAGAAAAAAGAAAGTTATCTCTGTTTTGCTTCTGTTTCTGAGGCATATTTATTCTCAGTACTGAATACAATATGTAAATGTTCTGAACATCCTAAGTAACAACACTGTGTAAGCAGAATTTTGGGATTATCATTTGTTCTCAACACAGGCATATTATTTTTTTCCTAAACAGGGTAGAAATTTAGCATCGGGAGAAGTTGGATTTTTCCCAAGTGATGCTGTCAAACCTTCTCCATGTGTAAGTACTAGTATTTCATTTCTTTCGTGTTTTATTTTACTTTTGATGCCACGTTGAATAGTCCAAGAATGTATAAAGAATATTGTCCAGGTTGTTTATTAATATTTTCTGCAAGGATCGTATTACTTCCAGTATTGTTAGGGTTCTATTGTAGATAACATTTTTAAATGTTAAGTAAATATATGCGAGATGCAAATTTAATTTAGAAGGATTTACAAATTCAAGTTGCCTAAAAGGTTTTAGGAGACAGAAATTAAAGCTGCAGATTAGATGCATTGCAGAAGATTCCACTTTCCCACTGAGGCGAGAACAGCAGGGGCTAATCTTTCCCTGCCATCCTGTTACTGGGATCCCTCACACTTCCAACTTGTGGCTTCAGAAGCATTCTGGAAAGTAAAAAGTCCATGGATTACTCAGTCAAATACCAAAATGCATGTTCTGTGCTTTAACAGGACATTGCTGTGTGTTCAATGTCATAATAAACTTTTCTGAAATGATTAAGGATAAAAGAAGAATATAAGTGAATGTAGTATAAAATAGGTCTCCATTCTTTGGGTGACATTACCTTAATATCACAATGTTTGCTTGTTTTGTGCCAGCACTGGTGCACAAAATATCAGGGCCTATGCTCTGCTCTGGCCCTTTGCTTTTTTTGCCCAAGGCTGGTGCTCTACCACTTAAACTATACATTCACTTCCAGCATTTGTTAGTTAATTGGAGATAAAAGTCTCATGGGTTTTCTTGTTCTGACTGCTTTAAACTGTGATTCTTAGATCTCAGCCTCTTGAGTAGCTAGGATAACAGAGGAGAGACACCAGTGCCTGACTTTCAACTATTGTCTGTGTGCATGTGTGTGTTTGCTGGTATTGGGACTTGACTTGAGGGCCTGCCACTTAAACCACACCTCCAGTCTGGCATTTTTGCTGGTAACTGGAGTCAAAATCTTGTAGACTTTTCTGTCTGGACTGAGTAGCTAGCATTTCAGGTATGAGCCACCAAGCCTACCTTTGTAATTTAGTTAGGGTAGATTTTTTTTTCCCACAAAACTTTGTAATACAGTTACTGAGTACAAAGAAAATGAAGTTTTGTCATTAATATGATGGATATTATTACTAAAAAAAACATGGAAATTCTTCTTAAATTATCTTTTTCTTAATCTCAGTAGTTCCCATATTTTGAAACTGGACATTCTTCATATATTACCAATATGAATGTCTGCCACCTTTGATTTCAGAATGTAATGGATAAAATATTTTTACTCATTCAAGCTTATTTTCAAAATGAAGTATTTTCTATTCTGTAGCTTTTGTGATCTTAGGGTCATTTTTATCTTGGATTATGCTATAAATTTAGAAATTGATGAAGTTTGATACTATTCTTATTTAATTTGATAAGTAAATATCAATAAGTAAATCAGTAAGTAAAAATAATTGTTTAGCTAGTTATCTATCACATGTAAAAATGACATTCATGCTGCCTGTCTGTAAAAACAATGGATTTAAAAGTAGGCATGCAGGAAAAGGATAATTCTAACATTGTAAAATTTAAAACTTGGGACTCAGTATATTGAATCAAAAATACTAAACATTTCAAGTACTAATGTCTGGCTATGCACTCTTGAATATGGTATATAATGATTTGATTTTAGAGATAGCCTGGCCCAAAGTAGGAATTTAAATATTTTCATTGAATGAACAAAAACAACCACAACAAAAAAGAAGTACATATACCTATATGCATATACACAATAGTGCTAGGTACTAATGAAATCAGCTTATAGAAGTATACTGAATGATATTTGATGACCCTATAAGTAACTAGAAGGAGAGATATATTCAGAAATTTTAAGATAAGAATTGTAAAATAATACATAATTATGGGTAAAACTACCAACTAAATGTGATTGCTTTCATAACTCATAACTAATAAATCCCTATTGAAATTATTATTAATGCTTTTTAATGAAATATAAATTTATTTGTAAGACAAGCTAAATGAAATTCAGTTGTAGAAAGGAGATGATTGAAGTAGGAGATAAGCTGAAGGAGTAAAAAAACCAGTATCATTTCGTTTACTGGAGTCACTGAGTAGTATTGTATATTCCATTCAGAGTTCAAAATTATTGTCCTGCACTTGTCATTGGTTGTGTCCGCAAAGCTTCTCACATGCACAGGCAGGAACTTAGAGCTGGTAAAAACCGAAGAGATGTATAAATGGGAAGATTAATTTCTGAGAAGAAATGCATATGGTGACTAGAGACAGAGCTAGTCCTGGAGCTATCACAGGGCCATTTTTACTTCTGTATATCACTGTATCTCTCAATGCATGAACTAGTTAAAAAAAGAAAATTACCCCATAAGAGAAGATACACCCATCTTGATCTTAACTCTGGGTTGGGTGAAGGTGGGGAGGAAGGAGAGAAGGGGAAAGAAGGGGAAGGGGAGGGAGAGAGTGAGGAGGAAAGGGGGTGGGGGGAGGACGGGTAGAAAGACATCTTTCCTGAGAAATCCTCAACATAAAACTAAAAATCATGCAGATAGAGTGCCAGAATTCATGTTAGCTGGGATCTAAATAATTCTTAGCTAGAAATGTAATTGAAAATGAGTCTACATTAGCTGAGCACCTGTGGCTCACACCTGTAATCCTAGCTACTAAGGAGTCTGAGATCTGACGATCACAGTTCAAAGCCCATCTGGGCAGGTAAGTCTGTGAGACTCTTATCTCCAAGAAACCAATAGAAAACTGGAAGTGGTGCTGTGGCTCAAGCGGTACAGGGCTCGCTTTGAGCTAAGAGCACAGGGACAGTGCCCAAGTCCAGAGTTCAAGCCCCATGACCGACAAAAAAAAGAAGAAGAAGAAAAGAAAATGAGTCTATATTAAAAATGATTTCCCCAGTGAAAATACAAATTCAGCCCATAATGGAGCCTCTTTTTTCACACAGCCCTCAAAGGATTTTTAGAGTAAGTCCAAGTGAACATATATTTGCCACTTGGAATCACTAAATCCATGAGAAAGAAAACCACCTTAAAGATAACAGAAACAAAATATAGACTTGAATCCATGAATTTATTAGAATTTACCAACTTCGGTGTTTGTTTTTTTTTTGTTTTGTTTTTATTTTGCCAGTCCTAATCTTGAACTCTGGGCCTAGGTGCTATTCCTGAGCTTTTATGCCTAAGGCTAGTGCTCTACCACTTGAGCCTTCATACTTGAAAATGTTATATTTAATATGGTTGAAGAAATAAAAATGGAATAAAAATCTGATACCCAATTACCTGGGCATATATCTCTCTAAAAGACTCACAGTAATTGGAATTGAAGGCTTTAGTGGGTATATACATGCCCTATCACACACAGTTATGGAAGAAAATTGAAAGAAAAAAAAACCTGAAGAAATGTCACAGAGCAGTCCAGAGATGAAGAAATGGACAGTGTAACAAAAGAATGAAGTGATAAGATTCAAATACATCTAATAGGAAAGATTAGAAGGAGAGAGATTAGAAGAAGCAATATTCAAATAAGTAATGACTGAGACTTTTCCTGAAACTTACAATAAAACCAATCTTAAAAATCACAGAGTATATGAATTACTAATCTCCAGCTACATCAGAATGAAACTTCATTACATTAAAGACAAAAAAATATTAAAAGTAGCCTAAAACACATGTGCCTGTAAAGAATTGATCGTCGGGTTCATAAGCATCAAAGGTCTCTGCTTCTGGGAGTTGTGGAACACCTTCTATTTTACCAGTCCTCCCAAAGATAACAACTAATAAGTCATGAACAAAATATAAAACGAAACAAAACAAAACAAAATTATCTGAAAGCACTGCCTAGGTAAAGGGTTGACATTTGGAAGAGGAAATGCTGTGGAGTTTTCTGAATTTATAGCCAGCTTGAGGACAGGGACTGAGTTGCAGTTTTCAGACTGGCTAAAGTTTGGAAAGAAATCTTTCAGTATTTTCACTTTGAAAGACTGTAGAGCACGGAGCTTGAAGCGACCCTAGAAAGGGAGGAAGGAAATGTTTACAAAGGAAGAAGTTGGAGTGGGGCAGCCTCAAGTTCTATGTCTAAATTCTAAGTCTCTGGTGAAGACTAAGCAGTCGAGGCCAAGCTAGAACGAATCAGGGAATGCCAGCTCCCTGACCACAAGAACTGCCAGCAACTGGAGGCCAACCAGGTTAATGCCTGTATTAAAAAAAAATAGAAGAAGAAGAAAATGCTCATTTGAATCATTCCAGATATGAACCAAAATGATTCAGTATACAAAGAAATTGGAAGACATGAACTATACTCAAAAAAGAGAGGAAAAAATCATGAGAAGAGATCTACTCTGAAATATCTCAAATAATGCAATTACAGGAACACATTTTAAAAATTGTTGACTTACTTTTACTATCATTAGCAGTTGTACGAAGGGGTTTTAGTTTAACAAGTCAGTTTGCGTACAATGCCTTTTAATCAGGGTCACCATTTCTCCCATTCTCCCATTCCTACCCATCCACTCAAAGGAACACATTTTAAAGGCAACTATTAGAATTATTCTCAGGACCCAAAAGAGAATAGGTATATAAATAAGTACATAGAAACCTCAGCAGAAAAATAGGAAGTAGAAAAAAGAACTGAGTGAAGATTGTAGAACAGGAAACTACAATATCCTATATAGTAAGAATAGTATGTGAGAGATTTTGAGAGACTATGGCTATCAATTATAACTCACCTAAATAATGACATTTCTAGCCAGACAAACACAGAGAAAGTTTTACTTCTAACTGTCCTATCTCACTTCATAAGATGTACTTTAGGAAGAATATATCATACCTTGTGTGTGTGTATGTGTGTATGTTACATTCCTAGTAAATCATTGAAGAATAAGTGGAGTTAGTCAGATTCCCTTCCCTTAACTTCTGGGGAGTGGGGCTTGCTAGGGTACCTCTCAAGGACTTCAGTTGTATCAGCATATTTGTGTAACCTTGAGTCACGTATGTCGGTAGCCTTGAGGCCAGATTTGGCCAGATGCCACTTTTGAATAGTGGGAGAGTAACACACGCCACTGTCTGATGGTGTGCAGTGTCTGTGAGTCTGTGCTGGGTCTGTTGACAAAGCAGTCTGTGAAAACAGTGTGACCACCCTTCCTCCTGTGAATCAGAGCATCACTAGCACTACAATTATTTTAAAAAATATCTTTGTCCATGGTGGTCATTAAACAATGTTATATGAAGGAAGAAAGTGGCATTAGAGAAATAGGAAGCATACATTCAAAGATAAGAGGGCACCAGGAAGAAACTTACCTGTGGTTGTAAATAGGAAGCATCTATCAGGACATAGGCTCAGTCAGTGTAGGTGGAAGAGAAGGGGAGAAGGCCTGTGACAATGATAAGGAAGATGAAGGACCCCATCCAGGTTGTGGGGATCACAGAGGAGAAGGTAGTTCTTCCCCCATCAGATATACGCACTGAAGAGAAAAATGGCTTCCATTGAAGAGAGAAACGGTTCCCAAAGGGATGTTTCAAAATGCAACAGTCTCGACTGTATAGTAGCAGTATAATAGTTCAAATCTCCAGCCTTTACCAGATCATGGGGTCCACAGCCAGAAAAGTTCTTTGCCTCTCTCCCTTCCTTCCCTTTTATCTGAGCTAAGATAACCCAGGAATACCATAAATAGACTGATAATGCAGGTGATTCAGGAACATTTGCTAATCCATAAGACAGATTCTCTGTATTTTGTCTTTGCTCAGGATCTTATACATTGTCATTTCTTGTATAGTGTGCATTTGATTTGTTATTTTTATAAATATTAGTATATCTTCTTTGGTTTTGTTCATTTTCTCAGTTGCCACCAGCAGCTACAAGATGGTTTTTTTTCTATTAGAATAGAAAATGCAACATTTTTTTCTCTTATGCAAAGCTCTGTAGGAAAAAAAGGGTAATGGATTTTTTTCCTATTTTTTCTTGAACAAAAGGTTTTCCATTTGGCATATTTTTGAAAGCAGAGTTTGGAAGGCATTACAAAATAGAGTCTATATCCAATCCATATTGTTTATTTTGCATGTTTTCCCAGTGTCTTGGGAAAGAGAATCACATTTTCATTTCCGTTTTCTCTGATAGTATAAAATTGTCTTGATAGTAAATATTGAAAGTTTCTGGTTCATATTTTCTTGCTCATCCACCTCCCTGCCCACTGGAGGTCTAGTGGCAGTAAAATGAATGAAAGAATGAATTAAAGCGAAATGAATTATTTTCTACTTATCTGACATATACTATGATTCATTCTGTATAAAATTGCCAGTGGATACTTCCAAGACTGTGCTACTTAGGAGTTTTATAGAGCTGAGTCAGCTGAACAGAATTAATGATTGATTTCTAAAAGCTTCCCTTAAGTAAACTTAATCTATTTTTGCTTTTTTATATTCTAGGTGCCCAAACCAGTAGATTATTCTTGCCAACCCTGGTAAGTATTAAAAATGTTTATGTAGCTAAGTTGAAATACCATACCCTTCGCTTGAGGATGCCTTAAATGTAGAGGTTGTAAACCACATTCCATTTTCATTCATCCTGGCTAAAGGTGCTTGTACATGTAACAAAACACTATAATGAATTCATGTATTGCTGACATTTTCATATCTTTCTCAGAGTGGTATATGTGTATGTGTGCATAAGTGAGTGCACAGATCTCTAGATTAAATGGTTGTAATAGCCCAGCCTCAGAAAGAAGTAAGATACAGTTTGAATGAGCTCCAAAGAATAATGTAAAATTACAATTTGTAGCATCAAATACAAAAGCAGTGAAATATATTCCTGTATGTCCTGAGTCTATATAAGTCTGTCTGGAGGCTGGAAGTAGAACAGAGTAAGTGATGTAAGCAACAGATCTCTTCAACATCACATGTTTCTTTTCCTTTTATTTCTCAACATTCATATAAGGAAAACTGCTATTATTATCATGGATGAAGAAAGAAAGGTGAAGGCCATGCAACCTGTGAGTGGTTAGCACCAGGATTCCAATTTGTGCCATCCATACATTACTAATCAACCTCAAAATACAAAATCGGAGCCTATCATGCCTTTATATTTGATTCCCTGGATTGTATTTGACTCCTCTGAAAAATGACCGTGTTTGTTTTCTTCTCCCTGATATTTAAGTATATGTCTACCAAAGAGAGATCAGGATACATATATAAATGAGATCTCCTGGAGACATGGAGAACTAATTTAGGTTGCAAACTTGTCTGATGGGTTTTAGGTACAACTCTGTGTGTGTGTGTGTGTGTGTGTGTCTGTGTCTGTGGCATCTGTGGCATCTGTGGCATCTGTGTCCATGTCAGTGTCTTGAAATCAAGCTTGGGCTTGAAATCAGGGCCTGGGCGCTGTCCTTGAGCTTTTTATGCTCAAGTCTAGTGTTCTACAACTTGAGCCACAGCTCCACTTCTGGCTTTTTGCTGGTTAATTGGAGATAAGAATCTTATAGATTTTTCTGCCAGGGGCTGACTTTGAATTACAACCCTTAGATCTCCGCCTCCTGACTAGCTAGGATTATAGGCCTGAGCCTGTAATTGGTGCCTAGCTGATCTTTGCTGCATTTTAACACAACATAGGACAATTTCAAGATCTTCATTTCTGTGGCATTCAAAACCGCAGTCCTGACTAGAATTGAATTTGAACACTAGAACCAATAGAATGGACAGTCAGACAGCAGCTGACAACCCTCATCACAGTAGAATAGTTGGGTCCTTTTCTTTCCTCTATCCATTTTTTATGTACTTAGATTTTATAGTTCCAAGGAAAATGATTCTATAGATAAATACTAACACCACCACCTAGATGGATTTTTGAGGCATAAACTGATCAGATACCTGGGAACCACTCAGGACACAGGTAGCTTGTATGCCCATTGTTTTAAAATGCACCCTGCCAATATGCCCAAGTGTATTGAAAATATGACGAATTAAGGTAGTATTAATCCTAGGGGGGGAAATCAAGATGTCAGAAAAAAAATGAAGATCCTTAATAATAATAAGTTATAAAGATACTTCAGAGTAGAATTTTAAAATTACAGATTCCCCCCTCCCCTTGAGTATTCTGGACAGTGATTCAAATTAACCAGGCAGTTTCATGTGAAATAACATGCTAGGGAGTGAAATGACCCACTACACCAGAAACTGGAACCTTCAATTGGAGAAATACTGAACTGTTCAGAGAAAATTATACTGACTGGTAGTATGGCCATTCTAAAGCCACTGAGAAGCAGAGCATCAACAATTATCTTATGTATTCATTTTTCTCCCACATTGAAAAATGGGTTGTTCTTATAAGATAAAATAGTATCTCATATAGACCATAAAATAAAATAGAAAATTCAGGTGATTATCTTCAGTAAGCTAGGTTTTAATGAACATCTGTATATAGAACAGTTGATAAACACCACAAACTCTACCCCGTCTCTTAGGCCATTCACTCTGACCAGGCTTGTGGGGGGAGGACACATGGGGAGAGCGGGTCTGGCTGAGGTTAGCGTTGACTGGGGTTAGCCTAGATTTCAGTCTAGTATACTGGAAACAAGGCTTAGATGAAGGAAAATGGAGCCAGTTGCCTGAGGTTGAGAGCTGGGGATTACAGTCCAAAGCCAGTGTGGACATAAAAGTCCATGATACTCTTTTTTAATTTTCTTTTTGTTTTTCTTTTGTCAGTCGTGGGGCTTGAACTCAGGGCCTGGGTATTATCCCTAACCTTTTTTACGCTCAAGGCTAGTGCTCTACCACTTTGAGCCATGGCTCTAGTTCTGGTTTTCTGGTGGTAAATTGGGAGATATGAGTATCATGGATTTTCCTGCCCAGGCTGGCTCCAAACCATGATCTTTAGATCTCAGCCTACTAAGTACCTAGGATTACAGCATCCATCCCTGTGAGGCTCTTATCTCCAGTTAAGCAACATAAAGCTGGACATAGAATCATGACTCAAGTAGTAGAGCACTAGGCTTGAGCAAAAAAGCTCTGAGGTACTGATAGCATTGAGGCACTGAATTCAAGCCTAGGATCAATAACGCAAACAGTCTCTCTCTCTTCCTCTCTCTCTACACACACACACACACACACACAGACACACACATATTAAGGAAAGCTGTACGCTGAATGATGACAAATTCAGACAATTTTGTATAGTACAGATCCACCACCATGACACAATACTCTTATATCCAGTCAGCAATTTGAAGGATTTTTCTCAAACTGAATAAGCTCAGAGTAAAACCAAAACACTAACAATAACAAAACCCCTAAAATCCTAACATTTGGATGTTACCCAGCTTAATCATCAGATTTTCTTGCCAAATCCGCAAGCTCCTGCCCAGTGGGGCCTACATTTGGACTGTACACACCGTTCCTTCTGCCAGTTCTTGGAAGTCTGTGTCTTAAACATAAGCAAATAATAAAGAGGAACTAGACATTTGAGGAAAGCCTTCAACTATAGAACAAATATGAAAAAGAAATCAGAAGAAAGTATGCATAGAGTAAACAGCAGAATATTTTTAAGACCTTCTGCTTACATCTTCAAAATGAAGAGGAAACATCACATTTGTAAGAGGGAAAAAGAATAAGAAAGAGCTCTTACAAATAAAAACTATAGAAATTTGAAAAACAAATCAGAGGAAATCTTCTGCAAAGTCAGATAGCAAATAATATAATAAGTGGGATGTTAGTGGCTTTCACCCATAGCCCTTGCTACTCAGGAGGCTGAGATCTGAAGATCACAGTTCTAAGCCAGCCCATACTGGAAAGTCTATGAGACACTTACCTCCAATTAACGCCCTCTCCCCCCAAACTAGAAGTAGAGCTGTACCTCAAGTGGTAGAGTGCTAGCGTTGAACATAAAAGTTCATGGACAGTGCCCTGGCCCTGAGTTCAAGATCCAAGACCAGCACCAAAATATATGAATGGAGATAGGAAAATTCCATCATTTGCCTGAGAAGCACAGCTTTCAACCAGTAAAATTTCTAGGAGAGGAAAACTAAGAGAATCAAGTATCAAAGCAAACAAAATTTCTAAGAACTGAAGAACATGTATTGTCAGATTGTGCAGATACAACTGAAAGCTCAGTAGACTATAGGAAAAACAGTTATCACAAAAACGTCAGTATAAAAAGTACAGAAAGAGAGAAGTACAAGTTGTCATCCAAAACCTACTTTTCCAACGGCGGTTCGAGGAGGTGTGTTAGGGGGCGGGGGGGGGGAGGAGGGAGGAAGGAGAAGGATTTGGATGGGGGGGAGGGGGGAGGCTGGGAAGGGATGGGAAGGGTAAACAAAGGAGGAGGCTGCAATGCTTGGTAAGAAATGTACGCATTATCCTGCCCATGCAATTGTAACCCCTCTGTACAGTATGTTCACAAATAAAATAAAATTAAAAAAAAAAGTACAGAAAGAATATGAATCATGAAAAATTTGAAGACAGACAATACGGACACTGAAAGTCTCCGAGAAATCAAAAGTTGAGTCATATGCAATGACTTGAATTCAGAATGGTATTAAAAGGATATTAGAAGAAATATTTGGAAAACAAAACAAATTCTCACTTAGAATTCTTTCAGAGGGGCTGGGAAAGTGGCTCACTGGTAGAGCGCTTGCCTTGCATGCCTGAGGCCCTGGGTTCAATTCCTCAGCACCACATAAGCAAAAAGAAAAAAGCTGGAAGTGGCTCTGTGGCTCAAGTGGTAGAGTGCTCGCCTTGAGTTGAAGAGCTGAAGGACAGCGCCCAGGCCCAGAGTTCAGGCCCCACAACTGGACCCCCCCCAAAAAAAAACGACAATTCTTTCACAGTAGTTTACCCATTTACAGGAAAGCTAGTAAGAAAGAGATTCTTAGTAGTCTTAGTGGTCAGGCAGTTAGACCTAGAGAATGCGTTATTCCAAAGAAATATCTTCAAAATCAAGGATTAACAGATAGAGTATATAATGTTGAAAATATAATGTGTGGGATTTTATTTGAGGAGACAAAAGGACTTGAGCAAACAAAAATGAAACCATTGTTTTTTTTCAAGGTCAAATGTATTTTTTTAATAGCTACTGGCTAAAATTGGGCCAGATGGTACTTGGGTTTGTAAATGTTACATGAAGAATGAAGAGCCACTTATAAAAATGTGTTCAGTACATACTAATTGTGATCATTGGGCTGACAATGGGGATATTATCATGGGAATAGAAGAATGAAGGGTACAAGACTCAAGACAGTCTTTGCTTTGCTTTGCTTTTCTTGTCCTGGGACTTGAACTCAGGTCCTGAGCACTATCCCTGAGCCTCTTTGTGTTTAAGGATAGTGCTCTACCACTTGAGCCACAGTGTCACTTGTGGCTTTTTCTGAGTAGTTTATTGGAGATAAGATTTTCATGGACTTTTCTGCCCTGGCTGGCTTTGAACTGTGATCCTCAGATCTCAGCCTTCTGAGTAGCTAGGATTACAGGTGTGCACCACCAACTGCCAGCTAAGACAACTTTCTTTTTTAAAAAAATAATATTTTATTTTATTGTAAAGGTGATGTACAGAAGGGTTATAAATACATAAGTAATATAATGAGTACATTTTTTTTGCCAGTCCTGGTGCTTGAACTCAAGGGCCTGGCTGTCCCTGAGCTTCTTTTGTTCAAAGCTAGCATTCCACTACTTGAGCCACAGCACCACTTTCAGCTTTTTCTATTCTTTTGGTACTGACAAATCAAATCCAGGGCTTCATGAATGCTAGGCAAGCACTCTACCACTAAGTCACATTCCCAGCCTCAAGACAACTTTCTTTAGAGAATGGTGATGAAGATCGCTAAATGTGAATGACGAGAAGAACTGAATTGATAGAGGGAATGTCTCTTGACAGTAAGCAGTACAGTCTGTGAGTGCTCAGTAGGAGCTTGATGAATTCCTCTATGAGAATACTGGAGATCAGAGACAAAGGAGGGTTGTTCTAAAGGGATATGGTTGAAGAAGTAGGCATGATGCAGCTCTTCCCACATCCTAATAGCCATGGTATTGGAGACTAGAATTGGGGCTTCACAATTACTAGGCAAACATTCTACCACTTGAACCACACACATAGTCCTGTTTTGCTTTTAGTTTGTTTTTTTCAGATAAGGCTTTGTGCTTTTGCTTGGGCCAGCCTCAGGTCATGTTCCCCCCTATTTCTGCTTTCTAAGCAGTTAGGATTACAGGCATGAACTACTGTTCCTGGCTTGTTTATTGAAATAGAGTTTTGCTAACATTTTGCTTAGGCCTGGCCTCAAATACCCCTGTCCTCCTATCTCTGCCTCCTGAGTAGCTAGGGCATAACTGTTCTTTTATCCCACACTACCCTAAGCATTAAAATGCTCTTAGCTTCTCTTTTTCATTTCATGGAAGCTAACATGTCTTCCTTCAACAAACATTTGCCAACTGCTGAATGTGTGCATTTATAAATTTTAGCCTAGACTAGAGGTGGATGGTTATAGTGAGTTACATGTGTCTATACATGAGAAAGATGATATTCTGAAATATGAATTCATGAGTAACTTTGAAAGAGAACAAATCTAAACAATATATTTTTTTCTCTAAGCTTCTGTTTTCCCTAAATCTCTGGTTTCTTTGGCCAGTAAATGTACAGCTGTGTGTAGTGAGAGACCATTCAAGAATGACTTAACATTATATTTGGGCCTTTTATTGACAGTTACTGTTATTATGGAATTTGAATTCTGACTTAAGAAATTATTCGCCTGACTTAAGAAATTATTCGCCTTTAAAAAAAATGTATTCTGGTGGCTCACACCTATAATTGTAGCCACTCAGGAGGCTGAGATGTAAAAATCGTGATTTAAAGCCAGTGGGGGCAGGAAAGCCTGTGAGACCCTTATCTCCAATAAGCTACTCAAAAAAGCCAGAAGTAGTGCTGTGGCTCAAGTGGTAGAGCTCTCACCTTGAGCAAAAGCAGCTCAGGGACAACGCCCAGGCCCAGAGTTCAAGCCCCAGGACTTGCCAAAGTGAAAATTACTCACCTCTGTTAGTGTCTTTAGAAAATCAGTTATCAAAATGGTAGATTAAAAGAATTAACTTATATCCAAACAGTAGTTGGATAGTGACTAAAAAATAATTAAAATGTTTCCTAGAGTTTTTCTAAAAAAGATGTTCCAAGGACATTTCATAGTATACATAGAGAAAAGGGAACTTCATGTATGTGTTTTACAGAGAAACATTGTGAAATTTTTTGAGGGGATTGAGAGTATGTGTATGTGTGCGCAGATTGTGTATGTGTGTCTGTCTCTCTGTCTGTCTAATGTCTTAGGCAGCGCAGTTCTTCCTGCAAGTATTTTTTTCCTTGTTACTACTCTCTCCTACAACTGTCTTACCTGCCTTTCTGATCTAGCACCTATTAACTCCTCTCTTCGTTCTGTTTGTTTATTTGGTAAATATTTGCTGGGTGTTTGCTGTGCATTAGGCGCTGTTCATTTAGCTGTGGATAGCTTTGGAGAGCATTTTTGTTTGGACATATAAAAAGATATTTTCTTTCGGAATCTAATCTTTTAAGCAATTTAATTAGAGGATATACTAATAAAAACAGCTCAGGGCAGGCCGCCACTAAATTAAAATTGTGACAGATACTTATTTTTAGCCTCCATTCTCTTCCAGGTACATTAATCTAGATTTTCTGTGCTGTTGTCTCTTACAGGTATGCTGGAGCAATGGAAAGATTGCAGGCAGAGACTGAACTTATTAATAGGGTAAATAGTACTTACCTTGTGAGGCACAGGACCAAAGAGTCAGGAGAATATGCAATTAGCATTAAGTAAGTAGGACAAGTACTTTTACAGAAATAGACTTTCTGTTTTCATAATTGCATCGACCATCTGACATGTATAACACTGAAGTTGAAAACCAAGGTTCTAATTGCAGCAAAAATAATGCATCTATCCAGACAGTTCATTAATACTTGAAAATATCTGGTAGAAAAAACAATAATAAGTGTTATAGGCTGCTAATTGGCACATTAGATATCTTTCATAACATTGAATTTTGTGGATTTGATGTGTGTATAGTTCTAGCAAATTCTAAGAGTATAAAATAATAGATTTTTGTCTTTTTTCTGTATTTTCAAACTTTACCTCTTAAGTAAATTAAGCATCATGACTAGTAAAAATCCAATCCCTCTCTCACTTCAAATATTGGTTGTATCTTCAACTAATAAATATATTTTGTTAATTAGCTGTCACTGTTGTATTGGCATAAGTATATATTTTGTCTTCAGAATTAATTCCTATGATGTTATTGGGGCATGCCCTCTGGTAATTATTGATTTCTACTGATTAAAAACACATTTATATTCATAAGTTATTCACTGCCCATAGGTACAATAATGAAGCAAAGCACATCAAGATTATAACAAGAGATGGCTTTTTTCACATTGCAGAAAATAGAAAATTTAAAAGTTTAATGGTAAGCATTGATTATTTTCAGTCTATGATACCTAGTTTGTTGGCTGTTAGAAATACCATTTTAATTCTAGAGTTCCTTGGAAATTTTGCCCACTGAAAAGTTATTTAAAGAGAAACATAATTTTGTAGCAGAATCATCAAAATTCTTACTTTAAGAAATCTAGTTGTGTTTTAGTTGGCTCAATTCAGATTTTTCATTATATACTAAATTTGTAACTTTGAGATAATATTTTATCTATATTATTTGTGATTCTTAGACCGATGACAAATTGAAATATCAACTTTCAGTTATTTATGTGGGTTTTGGCTTATGTTTTTGAATGGCATGTGGAAAATACTTTATTGCCCTTCTTTTTCTACTTTTTGTCTCTGTCTCTTTATTCAGTCATAGGAAGGTACAAGCTATGATATAATGTCATAACTAATAAAATGCCTCTCACATTTAGATTAATTTCATACAGAATATGATACAAAGTCAAATTGAAAAGTGTTTTAAATGATTTTCATTTATTACCTTGGATAATTAAACATTAATAAGACAATATTTTTTATCACATACAGCAGTTGACAGTTCATAGGAATTTGTGTGTGTGTGTATGTGTGTGTGTGTGTGTGTGTGCTGGTACTAGGGTTTGGACTCATGTCCTCACACTCTTGCTCTGGGTTTTTCTCTCAAGGCTGGGGCTCTACTCCCTGAACCATACTTCAACTTTCACCATTTTGACAATTAATTGGCAATAAGAAGCTCATGGACTTTTCTTTTTTCTTTTTTGTAAAGATACTATACAGAGGGTTACAGTTACATGAGTAAGGTAACGAGTACACTTCCTATTGAGCATTGTTACCACCTCCATTGTTTTCCCCCTACCATCCCTTCCCTCCCTACCTTCCCTGAGGTTCTTTTTTTTTTTTAATTGTGATTAAGTGATTACATAATTTCCCAAATTTCACAGTATTGTGGAATATTGATGCTCATTTAAAGTCACAAGTTCCTTCTAACTTTCCCGGAGCAAATTGTCTATCACAGTCTATAACATATAACGGTGTACACATGTTATACACCATACATGTGATCAGCAGCATGGGGATATTTAGTAGTGGTTCGACCAGATGAGTGGGAGTTCTTTGTTTCTTAAGTCCTGTTAGTTTTTTTTTTTTTGGTCGGCCATGGGGCTTGAACTCTGGGCCTGGGCGCTGTCCCTCAGCTCTTCAGCTCAAGGCGAGCGCTCTACCACTTGAGCTACAGCGCCACTTCCAGTCCTGTTAGTTTTGTCGTATCACCTAACATTTTGGATTTAGCATCCACTTATCAGGGAGACCATGTACCGTTTGTCTCTTTGCTCTTGGCTTACCTCGCTCAACATGATTCCTTCTAGCTCCATCCATTTCCCTGCAAATGCCATTATTTTGTCATTTCTAATGGCTGCATAATATTCCATTGTGTATAGATACCACAAGTTTTGGATCCATTCATCTGTGGTGGGGTATCTGGGTTGTCATGGACTTTTCTATATGTTGACATATTATAGGGATAAATTCCACAGTTCCACAGTAATACAATTTAATAATTGTATTATTGCATAACAATACTATAGGTATGTCATATAAACAGTATATATAATTGTGTATTGGTAAGAGTAGAAATTTTCCCATTTTCTTAAAAATGTTTCCCAATCTGCTTTTCAAGTGTATTTTCTTGAGGTAATGTGGAATTTGGATATATGACACACAAAGATGCATATTGTATCTGCTAAGCACTTTGAGTGACATTGAAAAGGACCGTTCATTGATTGGGCTGTCAGTCAAATGATGCACACTGCATTGTGCTGAAACACATCAGAAATCGCATCACAGATGTCACCGTGGAAGTTTAAACTGAGTAAGAGACCATTACAAAATAGGCCAGCTTGAATGCCTGAAACTTTAGAACTGCTTCAAGACAGAGATCCGGGTGTGAAAGAAATGAAAGCATTGTGAACTAAAAGAAAAGGAAATTAATCTCTCTGATCACAAATACCTCAATTTCAAATTCAAAAGTTAAGGATAGACAGCATGTGCATGTCCTGGAAAATGTACACTCGGTCAAATTGGTTCTTAAGATCCAGGCATCCTCTTTCCAGCTGGAGATAACTTCGGTTCCCTGTGCAGAAGGATCGAGACCAAAGGAGGTTCTTCTGGAAATGAAAATCTGGGAAGGAGGTGGCAAGTGGTTGCACAGATAATGAGTGACAGTCACAGCTGAGACAAGATGAAAGCCTGCACAGGGGCGCTGCTTCACATCTCTGTAAGACATTTCAGTTGAGCTATCACCTGCAGAACCTTCTTGAGCAGTAATGAGGCTGCTCCACAGTATTAGAGTTAATATGCCACTTAAAAAAAGTGCTTCAGGGCCAAAGATGACTGCCAGCTTTCTAGACTTTGAAAGTAGCAAAAGTAACTCCCATCAGAAAAGGCCAAGCAAAGAGGATGAAAGGGATGGCCACTGGAAAGGGCTGATCGCTTCAGCGTTGTGTCACCTTGGATTAGCTCAGGGAAGTTCTTCGGCAGTGAAGATTGGATGCAAAAAGTCAGTAGCACCACTGTGACCTAGACTGGAGACATGGATCCTTGAGTTCCTACCTGCATGTACAGCTGTAAGAATAAAAGCAGCAGAGACCCCAATTCAAACCATTTGCACTGGAGAGCATTAAAAGGGTCTGCATTGGAGATCTGGAAAGAGAGTGAGAATCACTGGTCTCAGGGATCAAATAAGCTCCATTTAACTGGGCATAAGTGAGGTCTCAGAAATGCCCCTACTAGAGATATTTGTAGAGCATCTTTTGTAGAGAAGTGGATTCAAGGGAGGTGATTAAATGGCAAAAAGTGTGGAGGGAAAAATGATTAATGGCAACACTGCTGTGAAACTAAAATGAAAATGTAAGCACAAAAATAATTAAAAGAAGGAAGTAAGGAAGGAAGGAAGGAAAAGAAGGAAGGAAGGACAAACAAGAAGCTATGAAAACCCTCAGTACCAGTAAAGTCTTTGTGTTCCGTTTAGCAGATAACTAGGAAGATTGATGAAGAGGCCACTGAACCAATATGCTATTCTTTCTTTTTCTTTTTCTGTTCATTTAATGAGCAAATTTATGCTGGCTTGTATAAGCTTGCACGTGAGTAAATCTATCCCTTGGAGCTAAGCTGGGAAATACCATGCCACGTGGACATTTAGTCCGGCGTGCCTCATAACCAGTCCCTTTGGAAGCCAAGGGAAAGTTAGGATGTGTAGGGCTTCTTGACATCAGCTTTACAACCTTTAGGAGATAGCATTTATCATGACAACATCGAATCAACCGTTTCCACTGCATACTAAGGGGCGGTATCTCTATTTGACTTACTTTCTACAAATAGTTCCGTATCCCATGATCATTAGTTGAACGTTCTCTCCTTCTTCTACTTGGGAATGACAGTAGTGTCTTGGGATAAAATTTTATCTGGAAAGAGTATAAACTCCACGCCAAGTCTGAAGCTGATTTTAAAATTAGCCAAGTTTCTGCAAAAGAACATTGGCCTCAGGTACTTGGGACCAAACCTTGTTCCTCTTGGGTTTCAATAGCTTGGTTAATCAGAATCTTTGTTTTTCTTAGTCATTAAATGCAAATCCTAAATGAATTTCTGATTCCAGATTACAAGGAATTAGTTTTGTTCTCATTTCCATGTGTGCCACAAAACCCATGTCCAAATGCCCCCTGTAAGCCGGCTCCATCACCTGTTTCCTTGGTAATTGCACTGACTGGCTGGGCACTCATTATTTTTCAGAGACTTGAATTGTTGACACTATAGTGTCAGCATGAGATAAGGAGAGCTGAGTGATTTCTTTTGTTTAGAGTCCTCCTATTTCCTTGTTGTACCTGAAGGTCAATGACTATTGAAGCAGGGGGTGGATTAGCCTGAAATACTGAAAGCATAAAGCTATAAATTGGAAAGAAACCATGGTGGTCCTACTTAATTCTATTCAGAAACAAGTTAGGAAGACTTACCCTTGTTAATACTGGAGGGAAAAAAATGGAACTAAAATACTTCTCCTGCTTAGTGAAGTGTTAAAGAATATTTGGCAGTTTAATAAGCTGCATAACCCTATGCCTTGGGAAAGACATTTTTAGGTGTATAACAAATCTGGGGGAGGCCCAAGCACCAGTGGGCCTGTCATCCTGGCTGAGGAGGCTAAGATGTGAGGATTGCAGTTAGAAGCAAACCTGGACAGTATGGACGATTCTTATCTCTAATTAGCCACCAAAAACTAGAAGCAGACCTGTAGCTCAAATGGGAGAATACCAACCTTGAGCAAAAATGTTAACAGACCATGCCCACGCCCTATGTTCAAACCCCAGAACTGACATAAAGAAAACAATTGGGGATGTCAAACCCCAGGACTGACACAAAGGAAAAACAGTGGGGGTGGGGGAATGGATATTAAAGGATCATCAAATCCCCTTTTCACTGTAATAATTCTGTTGTTTCCAGACAACTTCACAAGATAATTATAATTCATAACAAAATTCACAAAGTTTGTATTAACTCTAATATAATCCAGCTAAAATTCAAAGCTGTTATTGGCCTCTAATTCCTTTCAGGTTTATTTTCATATTGCCAAAAAAATAATACATTTTACTTAATTTAAATGTCAAAAATGAAAAGAACAACTCTTAGGTAGCATTTGTATCAGCAACACAATGTATTTACATACATAGTTCTTCTATCATCCCTAATTTATTTTTGCTTTGTCTTAAACAAAAAACATTAATGGTAACAAATACAGGGTAGAATTTAACTCCTAACCAAATCTTTGCAGCTATGTTAAAATTGCCATAACAAAATGCCATATTCTGATGTTTAAAGCCATTTGTTCCATACAAACTTTTTTCTGGCATTTTGTTTCTTTTTCTCTTTGTTTTAAACATTTCTTCGTTTCATCTAGGAATCTTATAACCTAGGTCCAAGGAAGGAATCAAGGAAGATATGTTTTTAAAGGATGTTATAATATGTATAGTAAGCAGATTAAGTCTTAAGGCCAAGAAATTCTTAGCAAATCATAGACACTTAGTAAGCAAATAATACTTTTCTTTGCCTCCTTTTTTTTTTTTTTTTGTCAGTAGTGGAGCTTGAACTCTGGGCCTGAGCGCTTTCCCTCAGCTCTTCAGTTCAAGGCTAGCACTCTACCACTTGAGCTACAGCACCACTTCCGGTTTTCTGGTGGTTTCTTGGAGATAAGAGTTTCATGGACTTTCTTGCCTGTGCTGGCTTTGAACTGTTATCCCCAGATCTCAGCCTCCTGAGTAGCTAGGATTATAGGCATGAGCCACCAGCGCCCAGCTGCCTCCTTTTTTAAAAAATATGTTTATATTTGAGAGTTACTATGTGCTGCTCAATTGGTATAGTGAAAATCATTGCTTTTGGAGACAGACCCCACTAGTGGGACTTCATGTAGTCAGTCACTCAGCCTCACTGAGATCCAAATGTTAGTGGGGATGAGACCAAGCCCATGAGGTTCTTGAACTGAGATTGTAAAAACCAATGGAAGGGCTGATTACTGTGGATTATGGTGGCTGCCTCGATTACTCATATGCATTGGACACTGTCTATGCTGTTCTTTTGTGTATGTATGTGTGTGCCTGTTCTGGGGTTTGGAGTCAGGGCCTTGCCTAGTTGCTTGGCTTTTTCTGCTAAAGACTGATCTCTAACCACTTAAACCATACCTCTACTTTAGGCTTTTTTTTTCCCTAGTTAATTGAAGGTAAGAGCGTTTCAGAGTTCTCTGTCCCAGCTGACTCTGAATCTTGATCCTCAGATCTCAATCTCCTGAGTAGCTAGGATTACAGGATAACAGGGGTGAACAACTTGTACCCCCTGTGTGTGTTCTTTATCACAGTCTGTGAGAGGGGTGGAAATTGAAGAAATCTCTATGTACTTTATCTGGGGATTTAGGCAAACCATCCTGTTTTGAGTCTATGAAGGTGAGTTGGGTTTTGTTGTTGTTGTTGGGTTTGTTTTTACTTTATCACCTCTGTGTCTGTCTTAGCCTAATATCCTTCCTTCATCCCTGTCTCTTGAAATTTTACCTAATCTTCAGTTTAAGCCAAGCTTGTCTCCCATCCAGAAATTGACTCTCCCCCCTCTCCCTTAAACACACCAAAGGAAGTCGTCTCTCATGCCTTTGGGCTTGCCTTCTAAAATGTTAGAACTTCTACAGAAGTTCTACAGAAACCTCTTCATACTGTTTGTGACCTTTGTCTCTCTCAGTACAAAGTAGTCCATAGTGTATCTGAATTTAGTTATAAATAATGAATCATGGATGATTCTCTTTTCCTTCTTTTGGGTGATTTTTTTTTTTGCCCCATTGATTTGCCTTAGGAATTTTGAACATAAACACTCAATGGAAGTCTTGAGTTGTTTGAGTGTGATTTCTTTTTTAAAGAAATGAGTTGCTTTTCCACTATCTATTTAAAAGGTGCCATAATAGAAAAACTGAATAATTAGGTGAAAAATGATTTTGCTTCTATTTTCATTTCGATCATTTATAAGAAACTTGATTAGTACTCCTGTATAAGAAGATCCATTTGCTCCTTATGAATTATTATTTAGTTTTAGTTGACATTACAGGGGTTCAGATTTCTGCAGAATTTGGAATAAATAGGTGAATAAAAATTTTCCTCAAATTTGAGTTTACAAGTAGATGGTAGGGCACTTATGACATTAAATTTGGAAGTATTGAAGCAAATTTGTTTATAAGCAAATCTTGGAAAGAACCCCATTCCTCATCCCTGTAAGTAGCAGGTGATAGGCAGAATGCTATCTTTTCTTCTTCTTCTTCTTCTTCTTCTTCTTCTTCTTCTTCTTCTTCTTCTTCTTCTTCTTCATCATCATCATCATCATCCCAACTGTGCTTTATCAACTTTTGTTTACCATGGAGAATCACATTCAGTGTCGTTTGGTATTCTGCCACATTGAACGAAAATGGAGGAAAATAGAAATTGCTATATATTAAGCAACCAGCTGTTCCTTTTATTTAAAATTTTTTGTTCAGAAAGCAAGTATTTCACACACAACAATAATAATTACTACTCTGAAATTGAGGCTTAGTATGGCTTCTTTTCATTTGCCACAATTGACTGAAAACTAATAAGATGTTCTGTATTGATGAAGAATATTAGAGAGTAACTCTCATGTTAGAAATGTCCCAAGTCCTAAGGACAACTGCCAGGTAGGTGTTATGTACAGCCAGAAAGTGAGAAGAGATGATCATTTACGTATACTCAAGTCTGGAAAGTTGAGCATTGAACCGATCATCCTTATTTCATATGTAATTATGCATTGAGAAGTTCATGCGTTGGAGCGCACAAGTATCTTTATCAAAAATTATCTTTGATTCTTTTTATTTTTCTAAAGGAACTTGTGGAGTACTACAAGCATCACTCTCTTAAAGAAGGTTTCAGAACCTTAGATACGACGCTACAGTTTCCATATAAGGAGCCAGAACAGGCAGCGGGACAGAGGGGTAATCGATCGGCCAACAGCTGTGAGTACTGTAATTGAGAAAACTTATTTTCTGTCACTTCAGGGTTGGAGGCAAAATAACATTTAACATCTTCATTTGAAACTTTGAAATGTAACCAATTAATATGCTAATGCACGGAGCCAGGACAGTTTTGTGGTGCTAAGCAGAATTAAAGGTTTATGAACAGGTTTATGAACGTGTCTATTTATAGGAATTTGTGCCAAACTTAAGAAATTATGTTTGCCTTTTCAGTATCTATCAGAAATGTAAAAGGTACCTTAATTCGCTAAATTTTACAGTGTGCAATGACTTTTATGTCAGCCAAACTCTTAAATTTGCATAATACTTTTTACATAGCATTTCACAAAGCTCTCCGGTTAGCTTAGAATCTCAAGCCCACTTATGATCTTATGTCAGTGAGGACTTTCAGAATTTGGGAAATGATTAACATTTTTCTCAGATGACTAGATTTCTAAAACTGTGTATTACTTCTTGTCAGAATGAGTACTCTGCCACAAGTAGAAAGAAAAACACAAATAAAAGTGCAGCATAATTCGAGTGTGGATCCCAGTCAAAACTTTTTTTCCCCTCTCACCATTGAACTGACAGCATTTTCCTGAAAGTAGATTCAGCATGTGAACCGACCACTGATGATAAAAACGTTGTGAAGAAAGTGTTGTTTCACCCCTTTGTCTTAAAAAAGAAAGAAAGAAAGAAAAAGAAAGAAAGAAAAGAAAGAAAGAAAGAAAGAAAAGAAAAGAAAGAAAGAAAGAAAGAAAAGCAAGCAAGCAGTGTGTTTGGGAGAGAAATGAAAATAATTTCATTATCTTTAGCCAAAGCGAAACTGGGAGACTTGGTGGCATTTGAAGAGAGAATTTGCATTAGTTTAATATAACTTTTACTTTCTTTTTTCTTTTTTCTCTAAAAGCAGATACTAAAGGAGAAACAGGTCATGCTCAGAGTTTCAATGACATCAGCAAAATTTCATGCACTTTAATACAAGTAAATATACAAGTGACTTGTCACATCATTTTATTTTTAAATTTGAAGAGCTCTATAGTCATTCTCCTCAGTGACCAATAAGATAAACCCAAGGCTGTACAAAGTAGTAAGAACAAACTTTATGTTGAATATTTGAGTTGCCTTAAAAATTTTATGTGTCTACTTTTTTTAGCCCATTATCACCCAGTTATCTAGGATTCTCATAGAGACTATGTTTTTTTCCCCCTCTCATTAAAAACAGAATATTTTCTGTAAAATGTAGTGATCGTACAAACTTCTTGAAGTATTGAAGACTCCTACTTACTACATGAAGTGTAGAAATTTTGTCTTTTTTTTCTTTACCTTATTAGCAACAGGACATAATACAAGTTGCCAAGTAGCCATTTATGCCCACAAGTTTTTTCTTGAGTTGTACACTTAGTTCTTGAGAACCCAGAGTGGAGAAGAGGGAAATACGAAAGTCAGATGTAAAAAGATTAGGTAGGAAGGTCATTAACCTTCATTTCTTAAGTACCTGGATTACTCAGACAAGCATATCTTTACTGTTGAGGACATATAGGTCCTCAGAGAAGTGTGATATAGAAATGTACACTGTTACCTGATTTAATTTGTGTGTGTGTGTGTGTGTGTGTGTGTGTGTGTGTGTGTGTATGAATGAGTACTGGGACTTGAACTCATTAGCCTTTTCTTTCAAGGCTGGAGTAAGCCATAGCTCCACTTCCATCTTTCTGTTGGTTCATTGGAGATAAGAATCTCTTAGACTTTCCTGCCCAAGCTGGCTTCAAACCACTGATTCTCTAATCTTAGCTTCCTGAGTAGCTAGGAATACAGGCTTGAGCCACTTAAAATTTTATCTCTAGTATTTTATGAATTATTTATTGTTTAAATTTGTTAGGAACTAAGAAGATAATTATAATGCCCTTTTGGAAAAGAATATAGCTAATAAACTCATTTAATATATTTTGGATGGCCACGGGTAAATTTTTCAATAGCTATGAGTTCTAGAAACTTGACTGAAATCACTATCATATATGTAACATGTACAATAGATAGAGATAAAATGACAATTCCTAGATCAGTTAAGGCACTATTCCCTAGTATATGGCAGGATGATAAGATCGATCTGCCTTTACGGAACTTATATTTTAGTTGGACAATTCAGGCAACTCAGGGTTGATATGAGTGGAAGTCTCACCCACAAAGAGAATGTGAAAGAGGTGAAGGACGATTTATATTCAGTCAACAATAATTTCACAGGAATGAACTCTCCAAGATTATGTATTCATTCACATGAAGCTAAATTGTGATCTTAAATTGAATTTAGGATTCTGTCTAAATATTGTGGTTACTTTATGCTAACTTTCTTGTAAAACAGGAAGAGCACTAAGATGGTCTTGAGAGTTAAATGAGGTACTGTATAGAAAGCACTCAGCATAGTGTCTGTGCACTATAAACACTCAAATGAAAGCTACTAGATCCCCTCGTGTCCCTTCTTCTTACTAACTCTTCTAACATGATGCACATACTGTACATTCTTTTTTTTTGGGGGGGGGGTTCTGGTCGTGGGGCCTGAACTCTGGGCCTGGGCGCTGTCCCTCAGCTCTTCAGCTCAAGGCTAGCACTCTACCACTTGAGCCATAGCGCCACTTCTGGCTTTTTTCTTTTTGCTTATGTGGTGCTGAGGAACCGAACCCAGGGTCTCAGGCATGCAAGGGAAGCGCTCTACCACTGAGCCACCTTCCCAGCCCCACACTGTACATTCTAAGGCCTAGTCACAGCTTGTGGTAATGTTCATCTTTGCTTTTATAAGTTTTAAAAATAGGCCTTACTTACTTTATATCAAATCTATTCTTTTTCTTGGAAGATCTGAAGTTTGAACCCATGCCATTGAACCATGCCTCCAACCCTTTTTTCACTGCCAATTTTTGAGATAGATTGTTAATATCATTATTTTTGAGGCAGGTCTCCCTACCTAAGCATACATCTAGCCTACAGTCCATCTATTGTAGATTTACTTCCCAATGTAGCTAGGATGACAGGTGCATGCATGCCTCCACTTATTGAAATGGAATCTCATAGACAATTCTGCCCAGGCTGACCTGGAACCTGACCAGCATCCTCTTTATCTCAGTTTCCCACCTAGCTAGGATAACAGAAACACCTCTCACACCCAGCTATCGGTTTAGAAGGAACCTCAAATGTGAGCAAACCCTTTGTGGCAAAAGTGGGAACAGTATATATTCAGTATAGAAAGATTATGTGTCATATCTTTATGTGCCTTACCTCTGAATCATAGCTTTTGATAGCCTCCTAAATACCATCTAAACATAACTTTCACCAAGGAGGGTGTCATGATGGGAGGCAGGTTTGGACAAAGCACTGAAATCTCATTACTTCTCTAAAGCCATAAAAAAAATGCAGAGCAAGTAAGGTAAAGCCCAAAATATCCTGGGTTCTGCATAGAGGTTGAGAATAGAACTCCACTCTAGAAATGGCTGCCTGTTACTTTTTATTTTCCCCTGGTACTAAGGCTTGGATTCAGGGATCTCACACAGCACTTTTTAAAAATCACAACTGTGACCTTATCACTTTAGCCCGCCCTCCACTTCTGCTTTTTTTTTTAAAACTTATTATTTGGAGATAAGAGTCTCTTGGATTTGTCTGCATAGGCTGGCTTCCAAACCCTGATCCTCAAATCTCAGCCTCCTGAGTAACTAGAATATTATAGGATATGTGCCCCAGGTGCTCAGCCTTATTTTTAAATCACATAGTCATCTTGAAAAAGAAACATCAGCACTCAGAGGCTGCTTAATTCTGGATCTGTCTAGGTTAACAGTTCTAACAGTTAACAGGTTATTTTAATCAGTAAAATTATGGTTATGAAAGAACTACTTAATGTAAGTGCAAAATAATGTAGAAAATAGTATTAGAATTAAACAAGTACAGAGTGTTGAGCAAGGAGGATAGAATTTCTAGGTTAGGAGTCTATTGTCAGCTTTCTCTGGACCATCCCCAGGCGATTGGATTTTTTTTTCTTTGCCTTTGGAATGACTGTTTCCAAAAACAAAGACAGATAGACATACTGGAAGGCAAGGAGAGAAGAGGAGAGGAGAGAGGACAAAAGGAGGATTTATGGGTAGCAACACGCTGTTTTACTTCCCATTAGCTACAATGGCTTGGTGGAAGGTATTCTGTGGGGTTTTTTTTACCAGAACCTGTAAGATTCTGGTAATTGTGTTAGAATCTCATTGTTTTCCAAAGTGGTTCTAGAAACTCTGCTTTTGAGTGTTTCAGGTGAACCTGTAGGGCTTTAGATATTTGAAGAACACTCAATTGACTTTTGCCTTCTTTGCTTTCTAGTGAGCACCTGATTATTCTCAGGTCTGCCTCTGCATAGCTGTATGACCAAACACAAGTCACTTGGCTGGTTTGGGCTTCAGTTACTTAGCTTGAGGAATGAGATTACAGATTTTATTATCTTCTTTGAAAAATACCAGCCCAGGTTTCTCTTTGCATGCATGAGAAAAGGAAGCAAAATACAATGCCAGCAGACCATTACGTTAGCAATAGTTGCATGATTAACTACCGTGTGACTGATACAAACAGACATTAAACATTTGTGAAAGCTTAAATTCATGAAAATAAATTGGACCACAGAATAGAGTTGCATAATTTTCAGAAATTTGGCTGTCATGATATTCCTATTACATAGCAAACTATCTTCCATAGAACTTACTAATCATAAAAAGGAAAATAGCAGCACCTTAGCCAAATGCCCAAAGTTAATAGCAGTAATGACACAAGTAGATACCAGGTATGTCCTACCAGATCACCTTGCAAAGGACAGAACCCCACTCCGGGGTTACTCCTGCTTCTCCAATGCACAATCTACATGTAATCATCAGGAGTCATCAAGCAAATGGAAATTGAATGCTATCCTGCAAATAATCAACCCGCATTCTTTTAAAATGTCAAGGTTATTCAGACAGAGGAAGTGTTTCCCATTGAAGGGCACCAAA